AACGCCAAATGGATTTATTTTTCATCGGTCTGAAGTCGAGCAGTTAAAAAAAAGAAAACCCTAAATCGAAATGAAGCTCATCACTACATCTACATCAAACCGGGCGAAAAGGTTTGTCTCCAGCATTCCCCACGTGACACCAGAAACGCGATTGATACAAAACCGGTTTTTCCTCCCTCGGTTTTGTCGAACTTCATCGGAATGAAGCTCAGCTCTACATCGAATCTTCGGTGTATGGCTACATCGAAATGGTATTTATGGCTGCACTGGTTTAGAGATGCATCATTTTGGATAGAAATAAAACATCGGTTTTTCGATGTAGCGCTTACACCGGTGTTTACCGATGTATCGATGCATCGTCCAGCCCTAGTTAATACTATAGAAATAACGAGAGGTTTGCGCATGCAGACATTGGCATTTGCTTTCCTCGTCGAACTGGCAGGCCGACTGGTTAAGTATTCACTCTGCGAAAAGATTGCACATTATTGTCCACCTTTTTACCACATTCTCGTTGCAAATATTAATTTACTAAAAGTAAAAAAAAAAAAAATGCATTCTGATGTATTAAAAATAAAATACACATTTGCATTGATATAATAAACTTATCAATGAATTAGTACTGCGCAATGTATTTCATAATTAATTTAACAATTCTAGGTTAAGAGCAACTTTAATAATTACCAGGCCGCGGTAGCCGATTGGTCAAGGTATCGGATCGTGGCTGGCCTTGTCACGAGTTCGAGCCCAGTTCCCCTAAAGACCCGCCGTGTAGGGGAGAAATGCATGTTAAATCTGTCTAGAGCTCAAACGTCCTCCCCTTGGTGTGGTGTGGTAGTTAGGAGAGGGGGTGCCAGCTCAGGTGTCGCCCACGTCACTTGACCATGGTTCAAAATGACATGGTCTGTCGCCCAAAGCACTCGTGTAGCTGAACAGTGCGACGTTAATATTCACTCACTCACTTAATGATTACCAGTGACTCTATGGGCTTGTCATATATATAATTATGTACAAAATTTAGCACGTATCTTGAAAACTTGTACGTTTTATAATTAATCCCTTAACTGTCGATTAAAAGTTACGCGATTAGCTCCTCAATGCCACCATTTTCCACGTAAGCGCGTGTATGTGGTGTATTGAGGGGGGGGGAGAAAAAGAATAAAAAAAGCGAATTATCTGATATAAGTACATTCTTGGCAAACAATGCCACGGTAATTTTATTCAATTCCAAAGCTTCCGAAATAATTTTATGGAAAGCACAGTGCAGAGAAAAGTTGGTATTTCTTAAAGACGTACTAGCAATTAACGCACTAGCTGAGCGAGACGCCTGTGGCATTTAAGAGGTGAGAGTCGTATTGTAGCTTTAGTGTCAAAGTATATTATTATTGAATTTATTACATTGTTACTGTATTGACGGGGCCGCGAGGAAAATTTTAATTGAATATTGAATCGCAAATATTGAAATTTTGAGAAGCACAAACTTAAACAATACTAGTTCAGCTTCTTTATAGAAGTCTTAGGTAAAATAATATTATTTTTATAGAAGCATCTTTTATGAAATGCTTTGAAAATATTCTTTCAAAATTTTTGGTCAACAAGATGCCCTCAAATGATTTAGTCTTGTAATTATATTCTTAGAACAATTTTATATGTGTATTCTAATTCTAGCAACACTAAATATTAAAAAAAATATTCATTTATACACCTTTTCAATGTCATGGCACCAAACGTAGTTCTCTTAACAAAAACAAGTAATAAAAAAAAAATTTTTTTTAAGTTAATTTCTACTTAGGTCAACAACGAAAAGGTTTACTTAGTTACTTTTTATTAAATAGTTACAATTAAATGTGTAAATATATACATACATGGGACAAAATCACAATATTAAGTGACAAAATAGAAAGCGTTTTTCCTTGCTATTTTCCAATTTCCTTTCTATATAGGGTGTTGGACTTTTTTTTGTTACTGTTTACTCATTAACTAAATTTAATGTAATAAAATAGTATAGTAAAAAGAAATCACATTCTCAGAAATTAGGCCATCTCCGGGGGTTTCAAACCCACGACTTTTGGAATAGAGGTCCAAAGCGCTATTCATTGCGCTACAGGGACACAAAGAACGATTTTCCTTTCTATATATGCTGTTGACTTATTATTATATTTGTTTGTTACTATTTATTCATTTTTCTATTTATATAAGGAATTAAAATACTTGAAAAAACTGTATTAACTTCAAGCGTTTGTATTGTTCATTGTTGTCTTCATTCCGAGTCAGTGTCTTATATCTCATTAAACATTAATTTAATTTAGACAAAAATACCTAGAGGCCTTCTAAACCCTACTGACTCAGTATTTTAATCAGTGGAATTTATATAATCAGCTTATTAAATATTAACTAATCAGTATGAACGAATTACTTTAACCATAATTTACGCGCGCGCGTTAAAAAAATAAAAAAAAAATAAAAAATCCGAGCCTCTTTCTTACAAAGGCTTCTCTCAGTTTGAAATTTCAGAGGGAGAAAGTTAGCTAAAATGACGGAGAGATTAAAACGACGAATTGGATTTTTTTCAGACTGAGTGCGGGAATATTTACATCATTCTGTTCACACACACAGTTACTCGAGAGCTTTTCGTGACGGACCACGCAATTTTGAGCCATGGTCAAGTGACGAGGATGACTCCTGATCTGGCTCCCCTTTCTTCTAGCTTTCCCACCACACTAACGGGAGGACGTTTGAGCCTCGACAGATATAACTTGCTTTGGTCCTTTCTACAAGGCATGTCTTCAGCGGTACTGGGCTTGAGTGAGTGAGTGACTGAATAGTAACGTCGCACTGTTCACAGCTGCACGAGGGCTTTCGGCGACGGACCTCGTCATTTTGAACCATGTTCAAGTGATGAGGATGACACCTGAGCTGGCATCACCCTCCTCCAACTTCTACACCACAACAATGGGAGGTTTGATCTTCGACAGATTTAACTTGCATCGCACCCCTACTCGGTGGGTCTACAGCGGTACTAGGCTCGAACTCATGACACGCCGGCAACCAGTCCGTTACCTTGACCACTAGGCTACTACGGCTTGACAGACTGACGACGTTAGCAAGTATAAATAAAAAAAAATTGGATGACTTCCGATTGAATATTTGTATCTAAATATATCTGAATGCATGCGGTTGAATTCTGTAACACAATCACAGTGAAAGAAAAATATCAAATGATTCGTTTATTTATGAGGAAAATTGGAACAATAATGATATGAATAATCTTTCTTTTAGTATATAGAATGAGTCAATGACTCTACCTGGGTATTTATTCATTCCTACTGTTAAGAGCTCAAATATATCTAATTAGAAACATATTAAAAAACTGCAAGAGATTGATTTAAATTCACTAAAATTTCATTACAATTTCATTACAGTTCCTTTTATTAAATTATTAGTTGATAAAATTTTGATTAAACTTATCAAACTCACAAGAATAGGAATTGCATGCATATAAAATCACAAAATAGTATTTATAAAAAAAAGGAATAATTTAAAAAAAAAACATTTTTCAAATGAATGAAATAGATTTCAAATAATATAAGCTATAACTCTCGCAAAACGTTTTTCATTCTCTAATTAGGAATATATATCTTTATCTTGTATTCTAATTCATCTACTCTACGGAATGATATAAATCGGTCCCCTCTGGTCAAATATGTATTTATTTGGTAATAATTAGAAGTGTAAGAATATTTTAAACATGCATGAAAAATTCACGTTTAATTTAAATTTATTTATAATAACTAAATATATGTGTAGTGTTTGGCTACTGTTAGCGGTAGATAATGGAATGTTGGCGCTGTTCTGCGTGGTTTCGGGGAGGGATTAATGTTTTCTTAGGGAGAAGGTGATTGACCCTCGAGCAAGGCGGTCAGGGCAGGAGAGAGTCCCTTGATTTGGAGGCGCGAAGCGTTGGAATCTGAATTTAGTGTTAAGGAAATTGAGTTTGTTAGATCGACGCACAGCGCGTGGTATGCTGTACCAAGAAAAGAGTTTCTTGGGAGAGGTTTTAACACGACGGACTGTGTTTAGTTGATTGTATTGAGAAGTTTAAGAAAGTAATTGAGAATTATTACAATATGACAATACGAATCAAACCATCCTGGTGCTGCTCTGTTTGGGACAAGCAGCATTAAACGAAGTGAAATTATTCTTGCTGGCCTTTGCAATGGGCCTACTCGATTTCAAAGACACCTGCTTTCGAACTACCCTTCGCGGTCCTAAGGTTTACCCTCCTTGCCCGAATTGCAATGTGACCCAAGCTGCTTCTACTCGCATCTTGGTTGCAGCTGCTCTCAAAGCCCTGCTACAGTTTTTCATTCATTAAAAATGCATGGGTTTATAGACTTGATGTTTCTGTCGATCACACAAGCGGGATGATGAGACAACAATAACAAATTTATGACTAACTAGATTAGTTGGAAAAATTAGCATGCATTGAAGAGTTACTAATAATATGAATATAAAAATAAAAATTGTGTAATTTTTGTAAAAGATATAGTTAAAAAATTTAAGTCAATTTTGAAGATATTTGACATAATATACATTGAAGTGCTAAAAGAAAAAAACTAATACACCAATCTAATATCGTGTAGATTGATTGATTGAATATTAACGTCGCACTGTTCAGCTACATGAGAGCTTTTGGCGACGGACCACGTAATTTTGAACCATGGTCAAGTGACGTGGACGATACCTGAGCTGGCACCCCTCTCCTAACTACCACACCACACCAATGGGAGGACGTTTCAGCTCTCGACAGATTTAACGTGCATCGCTGCCCTACACGGCGGGTCTTTAGTGGCACTGGGCTTCGTGACAAGGCATGCTACGATCCGATACCTATACCATTCGGCTACCGCAGCCACTAATATCTTGTAGAGCCCCCACGAGCAATTAGAAGGGCCGCAACACGGCCTGTCGTGAATTAAATTAATTTGGAAAGATATTCTATAGACAGTTCACACCATGATTTCTGCAGGGCAGTCTACAAAGCCATGAAAGTGTGAGGTGGTGGAGATTCAAGGAAAGCCCTTTGCAAAGTATCCCGGATATGATCCATAATGTCCATGCCTGGAGAATTAGGTGGCCAAGAGAAGGTATGAAATTCAGAAGAGTGCTCTTTGAGCCCCTAGGCAGTTGCTGAAGACCTGTGGGGTGGCGCATCATCCTGTTGGAAATATCCACGGTCGTCGGAATGCACACAGGACATGGATGAATGCAGATGGTCTGAAAGAAGGTAAAATCCAAGGAAGGCCCACACCTTTAGCGACAATCCGAATTAAGCGCCAAGCCAGAACGAGATGACGCCAAGCGAAACCGACAATGGCAGCAAGTGAATATAGTGGGATAAGGTGGATGCATAATGAAAATATATGTAAACAATGCAGAAATTAAACATTTAAGATAAAAAAAATATAAAAACAGCACTTACTTTCTTACTGCTGATCTTTTCTGAGAGGAGGGTACAGCGTAACAACAGATTTTAAAAAAGCCTTGAAGGTCTCATCGCTAAGGGAATGATCGTGTGAGAGTCGCTATATATATTATGCGAGGTAATGGTTGAACATACCTTCGGCGTGGCTGGTACGATTTCGAACATCATGCGTATTCACACCTTTTTTTCGACATCTCCATTCAGTTCCATCCAAAACAACACTCATTCGTATAATCCCATTCGCTCATTACATTTAGGACATACAGAACTCGAAGCAATCAACCCCCTCCTTCCTTCACACACCATTCAATCAATTATTTCTTAACTTTCACATTCAACAAAGTAAAAAAATTCTAAGATATATTCACTCACACACGCAGCCATACTTCCAGCCTGGTGCCCAACAACAAAATGAAATTCGGAATGCCCGCCGACAAAATACGAAAATTCAAGAAATAGGTAAGTTTACCATATCTAGTGTATCAACCTATGGTAACCAAGATGGCGCAATTATCTGCAACCAAAATAATTAGAGCCAAAGGTGTGGGCTCTCCTAGGACCGAACGCACACGCCCCGTCCCCTCATAGTGTCTCCAACAGCTTGGGCTGTTCTTTGTAGGCATGAGATATATATCTCTCTCTATGGGGTTTTTTGACACCCTTACACGACCATCCATCCCATAAGATTAGACACGTAACTCGTCAGACCAGACAATGTTTTCCCAGTCATTAAGAGTCCAACGACGATGTTGGCTAGCCCAGGCAAGTCACGGAGCTTTGTGCCGCTGAGTCAACAATGGTACCCAAGATGGTCTGAGAAAGCCCACATCAATTAGCATGCGTTGCACTGTTGACACTTATTGATGGGCCTGTATTCAAATCCTCAGCAATTTGAGGAAGTGTTGGACGTCCATATTGTGTAAATATTTTTTTCAGCAGTCAAATATTGCGTTTTGTCAAGGTCTTCTTTCAGTCGCAGTACACTGCGAAAAACCGGTTATCAGAACTGAGCACAAAA